AGCATTTTTGTATTGCTCAACAGCACAAAGTAAAGGAAAACTGATGGAATGCATAATTTCTCTAATTACAAACAATTTTGTTTTGTTTTTTTATTTGTCCATCCCAGCAAGGATATAACTTCAAAGCATATTTCTTTGTCATTTCTAAGTGCTTCTTTCGGGCACTTTGCTGAATAATATTTCAATATGCAACCCGGTTCTTACATATTTCTATATCTTAACCTGATAAGAATGTTTTTTTCTCTAAAATACAAACTATCAATGTCCCCTTCCTTTTTTTTCTAGACAACAGCAGAAAATTTTAGTCTCCAGCTTTTCGATGTTGGTTTCTCATTTTGTTGTCACTGCTGTCCTTTTATTTATTGTGCATTTTTCTCTTGCTGCGGCCATTTTCTTCCACATGCATCTTGAGCAAGCATCTATCTGTTTGCTGCCATCTAGAAATAATACGATACAGCTTTTATGTTAAAATAGCTCTTCTGAGTCTCAGATGGCATGTCAAATTTTACCTCAATTGCCATGTCTGTACATACTAAATGCCAAAAGAGGTCATAGCTTCACACTTAAGTTTATATCTGGAAACTAAAAATATGCAACACATTGACTAGAGGAGCATTATAGGGACACCACACAGCCTTGAAGGTACAGTGCTGCTTATAATGTCTGTGTAAATTATTTGAAAGACTTGTTTCTTTAGGGAGATTGAAAACAAAGCAAATGCTGGGACATAAAGTTATTAAAAGGATGAAAAGGAAGGGACAGAATATATACTTGTCAATTCCCCTCAGGAAAATTTCATTATGCAAATAAGATATTTAAGGTAAATTCAACCAATCCTTGCATTATGTGGATCAAGTTAAAATTTTGTGGAATCCCTTAAACAGTTTGCAACTACAAGAAGATCTTACAAATTGACTGCAAATAAAAAAAAAAAAAAAGTATTTTATTTTATTTTGCTCAGGTCCTTTAAAAGGGAGCTACTGATTTTACTTTTTGTTTGTGGTATATATTAGCTTTTTCCTGAACAAACCTCTCCTTACATGAGATACAATATTTTAACATGCCTTATTTATTTTCAGCTGTAAAACAACATACATAAATGATTGGTTACTTCTATCCAATGCCATCTATTTAAAAAAAAAAAACATTTACTTTGTAAGTGTCAGAAGTATAATCAGAAGTGGTTCTTGAGTCACCCTGTTGTGTTGAGAATTAACTTCAAACTACTTTCTTTCCAGGCAAACAATAATAATGATGTATCAGACACTTTAAAATCACTTGTATGGCAGCACTTTGGGCACCTCACAGAGGGCTTCGCAATCATAGCAATATCAGTACAATACATTATTATTATAAAGGATAGGAAATTTATTTTATGTCTTGTTGATCTGCACTTCTCAAGCCAATAATGCACTACTCAAAGAAAAATAAAGGGAACACTGAAATACCTCATTCATTCTGAATGAATTGAATATTCTCATTGAATAATTTGTTCTGTAAAGAGTTGAATGTGCAAAATCACACAAAAATCCATCCAGGTCGCAAGGCAACACAAAGACACACAACCATGCACACACACACTCACACCTAAGGTCAAGTTGTAGAAGCCAGTTAACCTAACAGTCATGCTTTTGGATTATGGGAGGAAGTACCCGGGGAGAACCCACTGAACACTACGCTGATACATCAAACCTTGCCACAGCTTGCATCGATGTGCCATCATGGATAAATTGTACTACCTGAGACGTTTGTGTGGGTTGCAGAGTCTGTCTGATGCTACCACTGGTGTGAAAGTGCCACCAACATTCAAAAGTGACCAAAACATCAGCCAGAAAGCATAGGTACTGAGGATTGGTGTGTGGTCCCCACATGCACAACCACTGCTTTTTTGAGTGTGTCTTGCTAATTGCCATTGTCACAAAAGTGTGTGAAATTGATTGTCAATCAGTGTTGCTTTCTAAGTGGACAGTTTGATTTCACAAATTTAATTCATTTAATTTAAGTCATATTGTGTTTTTTATGTCCCTTTATTTTTTTCACGTAGTTTACACTAAGGGCCTGATCTTAAGGTGTTCGCATTTTAAAACATGTGCAAATGTATTTCTACGTTCCAAACACATCTTTGAAGAACATGCAAACTGATTTACACTTGAAATTCAGCAGACAGTGTGTGCAAACTTTTGTGGGTGTGGGTGTGTGTGTGTCTTCATCAATATTTAGACCAACTATCACAATTACCAAACCAAAATTTATGGAAGAGAATATACAAATGTAAACATTTACAATGTGCCAAGCAATTTTCCGGATCTGAACCTCAACTGCGTCTGCAGGATTTTTTTAACCACCTCAGAAATTAAGGTGCAAACTGACAGTCAAAAATACCTGCAGTCATTTTGGCAAGAAAGAAGGAATTGATTCAGAGCCAGACAACAGAGAGAGATTCTGCGAGGATGTATATTTAAGCCATTTAAAAGAACAATATAAATAAATATAAAAGCCTTCTCTGAAGTCTGTGAAGTTGGGCAATATCAACATAGGCCATAAGGATGCCAAGGAGACCTTTCCTTCTTTTATTTAACAAAGCAGGATCCTTCATTATAACCATTGATCCCACCAAGTGGTGGGGGAGATCAACAGACTATGACTACTCTCTCTCATTTGATGATATTCATTTATGATACTACTACACTTTTCTTTTGTTATGTTCATCACTTTGCTTTTTACTTTTGTTTCTGTTTGTTTTGTTTGTAGCACTTGGAAATAGTTAGCTATGTAAAGTTCTCATGTTCTCTTTCTTTTAAAACCATTCTAAACTACTTATAGAAAACACAAGCTGCTCCTTTTCATTGGGTGGAACCAGATGGATTTACGCATTAAATATTTGCCCATCAGTCTTTGTAGATCAGCCACAACACACCTGCTTATTTATTTATTTTAAATTTTAAGAAACAAAAAATTTTACGTAAAACTTATCTGCTCTCATTTGGAGTCTTGGAGCCCTGAGTTTATATAATCAGTGCTGATGTCTGAACTCAATATTATTGTGGATGTGAAAAAAATACAGAGGAGTAGAATGGTGTAAAAGTGGGTTTATCACTACTGCAGCTTTGTAAGACCAAATAGCCCTATTTTTAATCTATCTAAGGATATATTGTGGTGTCCTGCACCAAACAAAAGGGTTAGCTCATACATTTTTTAACCAGATCAAAATCTAAAATAATTGCTAGTCAAATTTCAACAAAAGATTTTTACTTTATGGCCATTATTTTATTTGTCAACACTAATAATAAAGAGCTATATGTATGTGCCTAAGGACCTGATTGGAAATTGGAAAACATTTAACGGCAGTGTGTTTACTGGTAAAACCTGGATTTGAATCTTCCACAAGGGCAAACATTATAGATGCTTCTCTAACCTTCTTCTGTATGTAGACACATGGTTTTCACAAAACTTTGTTAAAAGCTCTTCTTTTGTTCATATAAGCCAAATGTTGTTTATCATCTCATCTTGAGAGTTTTGGACGTTACATTCCTAAAAGCCTCAACTCAACACAAAGGTCGTCATCCAAATTCTACATATATAATTACTGATAGAAGGAACCTCGGTGAGGGAGCTTATTCTATGTGATTAAAATTAACTGGGGTTACATCCTCCTACAGAGCTGCATGCTTCGATTAAATTAAACTGCTTGATTGGAATGTGAGTCTCTGTAAGCACTACTAGCTGGATGATTTTCATTAGAGACTATCACCTTTAATAGCCACGTTGGCAGCTGAATTCCTTGGTACATTCATGTGTAGCGACATGCATTAAAGTAAAGACAGTCATCCTAAGAGACAGAGCCAGTGACCCTGTTAAACCAAACACACTTCTGCCTGCGTAGACAATTACATCATTTGTTCCATGCATGGGTTTTTATTGAAGCAAGGCAGGAAGTATGAACCATGGGCTGGTAGATGGGCAAAATAAAACACAAAAGAGAAATCCAGACGCTCTGTCGCCAGTGGGAAGGGGAATATTTTATCCCGTAAGAGTTGGCTCATCTCCCTGTGGATACATGTTGCCATGGTAACTAGAGGCAGGAGTTTTGTTGGTTTATCTGATCTGTAGGACTCTGGAAGGGTCAGCACGGTCTAGCGAGTTTCCAGCCGTCAAGTGGTTGAACCAGTCTTCTCCACAATTTAACCCATCATAACATGAGAATACAGACTACTAGAGTCCTATATATATATATATATATATATATATATATATATATATATATATATATATATATATATATATATATATATATGTATGTAGACATATACCTTCAGTACACACGAGGACTAAATGCAGGTCATCCAAATGATACAGAATGTTCTCCAACTCCAACTCACATTCTCTTACCTTACTCCATTTGTCTTAATTGGAGTTGCATTCAAGCACACAAAATTTTTTCACCCACTAGACCATATATCACTTTATCTCACCTTCAGTCTATTTATTATTCCACCCAAACACAAATTTTGTTCCTATTTCCTGCCTCACAGAAACACACATATTTTATCTTGACATGTGATCTTACGAGCTTTTGAAAGTGTGTAATCCACCATCTGTCTTGTCCTTTCTCAGTGTCATCTCTTTACTCTATCAGGCTGACTATTCAAATTGCTAGTCTGATGGACTACCTACTCACCCACTGCATCTCTCTGAGTTGGAGCTTTGATACATGAAAGAGCAGAGGCAGTAAACCTTGACATTCAACTCACTCTAGGTCTGTTAGCACACTTGCTAGAGCTGAAGTGATGTGAAAACTTGCTGGTGATGAACAGCGTTTGATAACTGAGAAACAATACCACACACACATTTTTACTGTGACAGACTTTAAGTCTTTTACTATAAGTCTCCACATTTCAGGAAATGTGTGTGCAAAAGACATTATGTTTCACCTTGGTAACGTTGGACATTCAACACAGTCTTTCATGTGGAAATGTTTAAAGGTGTCTGTAAAAACTCACTTTTGACAGTGGCCGTCCTGGTGCAGTTGTAGAGAATAGCCAGCTCTCCAAACACTTTTCCTGGCCCCATGGTGCAGAGCTTCAAGCTTTCTTTTGTCACCTCCACCTTACCATCTAAAACAGATAGACAAATGCAAAAAAAAAAGAGTTCAGCTTGCATGTTTCATTAGCCAAGTTAATCACTTAATTTACTTTATGCATTAAAACTTTACCTGTGATTATTTTGATATTATTATATTATAAAAGTGTGTATTTGGTTATTATTGCTTCTGAGAGTATTAACGTTCAGTGGTATTCTTAAAGTGGACACTGTAGATTTTCATCTTGAATTTTAATTTCTGTATTCCCAAAACTATTACCCCTCTTGTAAAGTTTGGTTCAAATTTGTTCACATAGCAACCGTAAATCTTTTATAAACATTTCCATTCGATCTCTCGAATCTGCTCTCTATGCATAAGTGGGAACGTGTAAGAAGCCCCATCTTAAGTTTGGAAGAGGGTGTTCTTATAAAAATTATCAGATATGGGAATACCTTTTTTCAGTTAATTAAAGAAAAAAAAAAACAGAAGTTCCTTATGAATGGAACAAGAACACTAAACATACAACCTGGACTACAGATACATTTTTTTGATCCAAGTATATTTGCGTTGTATAACATCCAATCAAAATCTGGACCTCAAGCAAACTCAAACCCTGTCAAACCTTAACCACTGGTGTTCAATAATCTTTTGTTACAACCTAAATGAGTTTTTTTAGGTGAAAATGCATGCTGCTTTTTACATGCAAACTAAAAGAGACATTGGTAAATAAATATCTTACAATGGATAGTAAAATTCTTCCTGAGGGCCAAACCTAAAAAACTACACAAGGATACGTACAGTTTATAACCAGATAAATTGTAAACTGTTTTGGCTCTACTCCAATCTGTGACTGGCTCACACAGTTGGGACTTCATCTTACTACAGGTATATGCATGTTTCCACCCCAAACTATAAGAAGCTCATTACTTGTATCTGTTTGTTGTTGTCATTGCATTCAGATAAGCTTCTACTAGGGTGAATACTTTTCTGCTAACACCATAGTAAAAGCACTGTAAGGCTGACCCAAAGAGCAAAGCCTAGAATATAACAGTTACAGGCTACTTTAATTGGTCCAATAGAAGTTGGAGTACAGTGAGTAAAATGTACAGTTTGAAAAGTTGTCCTCAGAAACCATATCCTAATTTTCATGAGATGTAAAACGAAAAACTCCCCCAGGAATCAGTACCTTTTTTATTCCTTATGTTTTCTTTTTGCGATGGAACTATGCAGTATATTCTTTAACCACCCTAAGCCACAGGGTATCTATCACAACCCAGCATGAGACCATACCCAGATAGATAGTCTTTAAGTGTGTCACAATCTCACCAGTTGGCTCCCTACAGCTCTGACTTTTCCTATCAGCCTTTACTCCTACAAGAGAATTTCTGTAGCACTAAGCTAAAAAATGTGGAACAAAAGGTATTTCCAGTCTTTCAACAGTGTAGGCTTCTCTCATTAGCAGTTGAAGCATTAAAACAGGTTACCAACTCTTCAAATGTCTTTGGTCCAGATTAAGTAAATAACTTAAGTCTTTGAAACGGAATTGACAGCCTATACAAAGTGTTTTAAAGTCAGTGTGAATACCTAGAAGCTTTAACAATTTTAAACTAAACACACATACAATACAACTGTCAGCAGTATCTGCCTCTTCTATTTTTAGTCATCCTGGAAATACTGATGTTAATAAGACTGAACTCTTTTTTGTCCACCTTGGCCTTAAAAAAAAGTGTAAGAGAACTTCCCGCTCTCATTTCATAAAGGTGAGATATTTCAGAAGCTAGATATAGCTGAAACACTTGGTAGGTCAATTTAATCTTCCAAAGTACTGTTGTGCCTCACAGCTATTAGATAAACAGAAAAAGGATGTAATATAAACAACAGCTGTGCAAGAATGCTGAGCCGGTAAAACTCTGTGTTTCAGCCTGTGGCTGTTGCTCCTTTTCAGGATATTTCCAAGTGAGGAGCCTCCAAGTACACCCTGCAATTCCCATAAGGATCCACCATATACAAGCTTTTTTCCAAACTGACTACAGTAACTCTCCTCATTCCACTGGCCACTCTGTCCACACATGGGAGACCCCCTCCATCCTGCTGGTAAGGGACTGCAATCTTTAAACTGATTCAATAGTTGAGTATGGTCTGTTTTCTAAACAAAGAACCACCAAAGAAACCACAGAACAGGCTGTATTCATTTTTCTGCTATCTCTGGGTTTAGCGGGAGAGACTAGCAACAAAGACCCAGCAGAGAGTAGATGACAGTAGCTTGCTCCTTCCACGTCCATAGCAAAGCTAGATAACTATTTGAAAATGGTTTAAACACTAATTTGACAATAACTTGTATGTGTTTTATGATCCACTCATCATACATTCATGCTCATAATATGACCAAATAGTCCTTTAAAACAAGTGCCCTCCAAGCCATTAGCTCCTTGTTTACAACACAGCTCACTGTTTTGATATAAATTAGTGTTTCATAGTTAAAAATGGTCAAATGGAATGTCCAATATGTAACAGACCTGTCTAAAGCCTGGTTTATGCTTGACATGTCTGAGGTCAAGCATAAACCTTCACCTTCACCGGAATTTACGTACCACGCAATGAGAAAAATCTGTAACTATGCAGACAGCTCCACATGGAAAAACATGGCAGATGGGTGACAGCTCCTACTGCCGAGGATTTGCAGAACTTAAGATCTATAGACATCTTATGGTTTAGCCCAGGCATCCCCAAAGTCGGTCCTTGAGGGCCACTGACTTGCAGGTTTTAGAGGTTTCCCTGCTTTAGCACAGCTGATTATGATGATTGCAGTAGAGCAAAAGCCTGTTAATGAGCTTTCAATTAAAATCAGATGTGCTGGAGCAAGGAAACCTCTAAAACCTGCAGGACAGCGGCCCTTAAGGACCGACTTTGGGGATGCCTGGTTTAACCCATAAATATCACTACAATAAACACATTTGTTAAGAAAAAAACTGAAATGAAATGAACATCATTCTTGGATTACAGGAAAAAGCTTTGAAAATGTAGGAAATGCATTTTTCTGCACGTTATGTGGTGTTCTAAGCTTAATGCTGCGTTCACACCGGGGGCAGCTGGCGCGACAGAAGCAGCGAGTTTACATGCAAAGTCAATGGTTGACGCGCGTCAAGGCGCAGCAAAAGGTCCTGCGGCGCGTTTCGAGCAGCAAGCGCAGCGCGTCTGAGCAGCTGAAGCAGCGCGTCGGGCGCGTTTTGGCATCTGACGCGCGTGACGCGCCGCAAACGCGCTGCTGCTCGAGATGGAAAAATTGAATTTTTGCTGCTCGACGCTCCGCGTCAACCAATCAGAGAAGCTGATCTGGGAGCTGGCTGGGAGAGAGACACAGCGCTGATGACACAGACTGCTCTGATCACTTCTCTTAAACAGTTTATTAAAGCATAATTAACTTAAAATATATACATCTGCCGGCAGAATATGTTCGCTTTTATTATTCTGGTGCCTGCAGATCGGATTATTTAGATGAAAAACACCTACCAGCCACCGCGGTAAACCGCGAGGAGGCAACCCGGCCAGAGGCTGCTGATGAATGGATTCCTTCTGTCGGCGCACCGCCGGTATGTGGGGGTCTGAGCGGCTCCGACAGAAATAACATTGGGAGGCAGGATTGTAATCTGGATGAACTGACTCCACTGATGAAGTTTTCAGGTGTATTTTCTCACTTAAAAACATATTAAAACTACTTTATTCCCACTGATCACAGCAAATATAGCTGCAAGGCAGAGAAAGGATAGTGAAGCTCCGCCCAACGCGCGTCAGACACACTTTTGGACCGCGCAGCGAGAGCAGCAAAGCTGCTTCAGACGCGCGTCAGAATTCACTGGTACAAGCAGCAAAAATGAAGCAGCAGACGCGATTTTGCTGCTTTCGCTGCCCCCGGTGTGAACGCAGCATAAGACCTGTGCTATACACGCCTACTTAGAGCTGGCCAGAATATTAGGCACATGGCAAAAAGCAGCATGTAGTATAAAAGCTGCAGATGTGTATGCATTTTATTTCTGTGGGATTTTGCATTGTATTAAACTTAAATGAGCTTTTAGGCAGCAGGTTGTCTCTTTAACAGCTGATCATACTATTGTAATTTTCAACTACTACTACTACTTTTCATACTAATGTACTTTTCATGATCCTGCCCTTTGTGGACTTTTTGAGTTTTTATTTACGTTTTAATTTATGTCATTTTGTTTTGTTGGTAATTGTTTCTTTTTAATTTGGCATAATTTAAGTTGTTTTCTTGTCATTTTTAAGCAGCGTTTTGATTCGTGAGTTACTCTCTGTACTCCCCCCTTGTGCCTGTCTCCTTTCCACTAGCTCCCTTCTAGTCACTTCTATCCAAAGCTGCTCCCTATCAGCCCATTCTTTGTTCTGGTTTCCATATATACAGCACCCCTGCAGTTCCCCATTGCTTGTTCCTCATAGTGTCTTTGCCCGCATTTGTGTTTTCCATGACGTCTCCTGCCCTTTTGGTTTTCAGTATTATTGTTTTTGGACTTTGCTTCTATTTCCTTTGGGATTTTGATTAAATCTGCAAAAACTCATCTCTGCCTCCTCACCTCTGCATTTGGGTCCATCCAACCCTGACATAAATCCTAGTTGCCCATCCCAAATGGTTAGTCAGTAGCTAATACAGGGTTATACAATACTGAGATAACGGCTTTAAACCCTCAAAATTATTTAACTCTTTACAATTCTTCACATTTACTTGTAAGTTTGATTTATAATTTGGTCAGGAAGCATCTGAAAGTGAACATAAAACTGTACAGGTTATATGTGTAGAGTGACAAATAAGAACTAACAGAGCCCAGCAATGAAATAAGAAGGCTTACTGAATGCAGGTAATATCCAGAAATAGAATAATCACAATGTTAATTTATTGTCATTTCACAAATGACCTGTATATTTGTTTGTTTTATTACACTGTTTCTTGGACGTTCAGGAGCACCCCTCTGACAAAAGCACACACACTCACAGGATCCATTTAATTTCCTGTCTTGCATCTAA